CAAGGGTTTATTTCCGTGTTCTCAATTCTGTTCCATTGGACTGTTTTTATGCCAGTACCAACCAGTCTTAGGTACTATAGCTTTGTAGTATAGTTTGAAATTAGGCAGTATGATGCCTTTAGCATTGTTCTGCTTATTCAGGATTACCTGGGTTATTCATGGTCTTTTGTGCCTCCATACAAATTTTAGTATTGCTTTTCTATTTCTGTAAAAAATGCCAGTTGAATTTTGATAGAGATGGCATTGAATCCATAGATGGCTTTGGGTAGAATGAACATTTTAACAATAATTCTGATTCACAAACATGGGGTATCTCTTATTTCTGTCTTCAGTTACTTTAACCAAAGTCTTGTAGTTTTCACTACACAGATCTTTCACCTCATTGGCAAAATTTATTTCTACATATTTTATTATTTCTGATGCTATTATGAATAAGATTATTTTTTAATTTCTTTTTCAGATATTTTGTTGCCAGTGTATAGAAACACAACTCATTTCTGTATGTTGTTTTTGTACCCTGTAACTTTATTTTTTGATTCACTCTTACAGTTTTAAGGTGGAGTCCTTCAGATTTTCTATATGTAAATTCATATAATCTTAACAGACAATTCTACTTTCCTTCCAGTTTGGATGCCTTATACTTATTTTCGCATATGATTGCATTGGCTAGAAATTCCACTAGTATGTTGAATAGGAGTGGTGAGAGTAGACATCTTGGTGTTATTCCTGAACTGGAAGAACTGTCACCTTTCACTGTCAAGTATGATGGTGGCTGAAGGTTTGTCATATTTGGCTTTTATTGTTTGAGGAATGCTCCTTTTACATAACCCAAATTTGCTGAGTGTTTTTATCATGAAAGGATGTTGTATTTTGCCAAATGCTTTTTTGCACCTGTTGAAACGATCATATGATTTTTATCTTTCATTCTATTAACATGGTATATCACATTTATTGATTTCTATATGTTGAACTATCCTTGTATCCCAGGGGTAAATCTCACTTGATCGTGGTGTATGATTCCTTTAATGTCCTGTTGAAATCAGTTTGCTAATATTTTCTTGAGAATTTTTGCATTTATGTTCATCAGGATTATTGGCCTGTAATTTTTTTTTTTTTTCTTGTGGTGTCTTCATCTGGTTTTGGCATCAGGGCAAGGCTAATCTTGTGAAATGAGTTTGGGAGTGTTCCTTCCTCTTCAATTTTTTGAAACAGTTTGAGAAAAATTGGCATTAATTCTTTAAATGTTTGATAAAATTCAGCAGTGAAGCTTTCAGTGCTGGGCTTTTCTTCATTGGAAATTTTTGATTACTGATTGAAGCACCTTACTAGCATAGTAGTTGGTCTAGATTTTTTTATTTCTTCATAATTCAGTCTTGATAGGTCATATGCTTCTAGGAATTTATCCACTTCTAGGTTATCCAATTTGTTAGCATATAAGTGTTTATAGTAGTTTTTTATGATCCTCTGTATTGCTGTGATATCACTTGGAATGTTTCCTCTTTCATTTCTGATTTTATTTGGGTCCTTTTACCTTTTTTCTTAGTCTAGCTGAATGTCAATTTTATCTTTTTGAAAAGATTTTAGCTTTGCTAATCTTTTCTATTGCTCTACTAGTCTCTATTTCATTTATTTCAGTTCTGATTTTTGTCACTTCCTTTTGCTAACTTTGGCCTTAGTTTGTTCTTTTTCTGGTTTCTTAACATTTAAAGTTGTTTATTTGAAATCTTTCATTTTTCCCACTATACGCATTTATGGCTATAAATTTCCCTCTGAGAACTGCTTTCACAACATTGCATTTGTATTTGTCTATTGAATCTCCATTTTCATTTGTTTGGAGATTTTTTTTTTTCTCTTTTTGATTTTTCCCTTGGCCCAGTGGTTATTCAGGAATGTGTTGCTTAGTTTCCACATATTTGTAAAATTTCCAGCTTTCCTCTTGTTCTTGATTTTTAGTTTCATACCATTGTGGTTGGAAAAGAAACTTGGTATGAGGTCAGTATAAATTTCCTAAGAATTGTTTTGTGACCTATCATATGACCTATCCTGGAGAATATTCCATGTGCACTTGAGAAGAATGTGTATTCTGCTGCTGCTGTTGAATGGAATGTTTTATATATGTCTGTTAGGTCCATTTGGTCTAATGTATGATTCAAGTCAAATGTTTCTATATTGATTTTGTCTGAATGATCTATCCATTACTTAAAGTGAAGTATTAAAGTCCCCTACTGTTCTTGTATTGCCTATTTCTCCCTTTAGATCTGTCAGTATTTGCTTAATATATTTAGGGCTCCAATAGTGGGTGCATAAACATTTATAATTGTATATCATCTTGATGAATTACCCAACTTATCATTATATAATGACCTTCTTTGTCTCATAATAGTTTTTGGCTTAAAGTCTATTTTGTTTTATGTAAGTATGGGCTAACCCGGTAAGGCCAACCTCACTTTCTGTTGGTTTCTGCTTCCATGGAATATCTCTTCCATGTCTTCATTTTGAGCCTACGTACGACCTTAAAGCTGAAGTGCCTCTCTGTGAAGACAGCATGTAGTTGAATCTCATCCATCCAGACATTCTATCCATTTTGATTGGTAAATTAAATTCATTTACATTCAGGGTAATTATTAATATGTAAAGACTTACTAATGCCATCTTATTACTATCTCTCTTGCTGTTTTATAGTTCCATTGTTCTTCCTCACCCCACCCGCTCCCTCTTACTGCCTACCTTTTCCACGGATGGTGATATGCTCTGATTCCCATCGCTTTATCTTTTGTGAATCTAATAGGTTTGTGCTTTGTGGTTATCACGAGACTTACATAAAACATCTTCTAGATAAAATAGTCCATTTTAAACTGATGAATAGTAACTTTAATCCCATACAAAAGCTCTATTCTTTATTACCTTCTTTTATGTTTTTGATTTTACCATTTACCTTTTTTTTACTATTCTGAATTCATTAACAAATTACAGTTCTTTTTTTATATTCTTGTTTGTTTTATGGTGTCCCATACATCTTGTAGGCTTTTTTCACTCTCTTTCATTCCTTTTTTCTTGGTTCTCCTCTGACTGGGAGTCCCTACCCTTCATTTCTCTGATTTTATATTTGCTTGGTCTATCCTGTTGATGTTCTCTATTGCATTTTTCATGTCATTCATTCTTCAGCTCCAGATTTGTTTGGTTTGTTTTTAGGATTTCTCTTTGTTGGATTTCTCATTTTATTCATGTATTATTTTCCTGACTTGCTGAGTTCTGTGTTTTATTGTAGCTCATTGAGTTTCTTTAAAACAGCTAATTTGAATTCTTTATCAGGCAAACCACATAATTGTGTCTTTGAATCGAGGATTATTGAGATCTTTTTGTGATGTCATGTTCATGGATTCCCCATGTTTCTTGGAGTTTTGCATTGCTGTTTTCTCATTTGAAGTAGTCACCTCCTCCAATCGTTACTAGCTGCCTTCAGGTCGGAGATACTTTTTGTTGGTCCTGCTTATAACTAGGTCTTTCTCTGTCCTTGTAGGAATACATGTGCTCCATGCTTCCTGCCCCCTTGTGGCTTCTTTGTCTCCTCTCAAACTTACAACTCACCAGGCTGGCTGCTGGAAACCTCTTTTGTCTTTAAGATAATACTATAGCTCAAGTTTGTGATTTCTCCCTTGCCACAGACTCTGGTTTGTTTTCTGCATGCTCTCGGTCTACCAAAACTGGCTCTTAGTACCATACTTGGGAGCTGAAGAATTGGGGGAGCTGTGGGTTTAACATTTGGGGCTTTAGGGGTGCCTGCAAGCCAGATGGAGGTTCCTTGGGCAAGGCTTTCCCAGTGGCTTGTGTTGAGCTTTCTACTTGAGTCCTGAATGCAGCCAAGTAAGAACTGTGTTTATTTTTGCTGTTTTTTTATATTTTTTAAATGTTTATTTATTTTTGAGAGACAGAAGGCAAGTGGAGGAGGGGCAGAGAGAGAAGGAGATACACAATCTGAAGCAGGCTCCAGGCTCTGAGCTGCCAGCACAGAGCCTGACACGGGGCTTGAACTCATGAACCTTGAGATCATGACCTGAGCCAAAGTCAAACACTTAACCAACTCAGCTGCCCAGGCACCCTGAAAATGTATTTCTTTAATGCACTCTGATATTCTTATATCCTGATATCAGGTACTGCCTCAATACTATGGGTGCTGCAGCAGAGAAACAAGTTTCTTCAGCAGCATTCTATACAGGTGGGGAAGCTGGGCAATCACCCACTATTATCACTTGCAGAAGTCATTGCTGGTTAGTTCAGCAACATGGTGTGCTGCCTTGGGGAACAGGTAGCACTGGTGAAGTTCATCTTACACCCCCCACCCCCCACCTTTTTTTTTTTTTTTTTTTTGCTCTAACAGAGTGCTAGAATCTTTCCTCAGGAAATCTGAAGTTCTGCAAAGGCTCTCTCATCTGTGAGTGTCTGCTCAAATCAGCAGTCTCCAGATTTACCCTGAATGCAGCCAAGAGGGGCTGGGGCTGGTTCACAGACTTCTGCTGTTTCCCCAGTCTGTACCAAGGACTATCAGCTTATTACTTTATGTGGTGGGTGAGACTCCTCTCAGGTCCTTTAGCTTATGGTGTTGGATCTCACAACAACCACAGAGGCCCTTTTTCTTATAGGTGGATGCTGAATTTTAGTTGTTAAACTTGGAGGCCAAATGAAGGCATGCATCTTATGCTGTCATTATGCTGAGGTCATTACTCAAAGTTCAAATTTCTATGAAGGAGCTACCCTCTTTATTTTTACCTCAGTATGAATTTTGCCTTCTCACACATTACAATCTCATATTTTTCTTTATCAAGATGAATTATCCCTGTTCTATAAGAAACAGATGTTAGTCAAATTTTTATTATATTCATTTACATGAATATCTTTTTTCCCATTATGATGTCTTTGATGTTGAATAAGACAAGGATACTAGCTAAAAACTTTTCCCTAAAAAAACAAAATTGAAAGATAATAATAATGACGAAGGCTAATACTATGCAAGTTTTATTATGTGATAGGCACAATGGTAGAATCCACATAACAAGCCTCTGAAGTGAACGAATTATGCCCACATTACCAAAAGCACATTATATATGCATATAAAATGACCTGGAAGAATAAGTCGGTTAACATTTAGGAAATAACTGGGTCAAGACCGTTGGCCAAAGGGAAGCAGAGCTTTATAATGTATAAATCTTTAAAAGTAGAAGAGATCCCACACGTTTTCTCTGAAATGAATAAAAAACAAAGCAGACACATTCAAAAGGGGCCATCAAGATAACTCTTTATAATGGTAAAATTTTCAATATTTGACAAAATAGGGGTTTGATAAAGACAGGTGAATATTTTGAAGCCAATAAAAGAGTAACCAATATATTTACAACGAATATTAAAGGCTGGTTATAGTATAGCACAATCACACTTTCTGTCAAAAACAATGATATGTAGTTTTAAAGAGTTTGCTCCAAAAGTTTGACAAAGATTGTCTATGACTGGTATGATTACAGATAACTATCTATTTTGTTCATATCTACATTAATATAGAGAAAAATTATTTTGCAAAAAGAGAAGTATAAACCTTATAAAAGGAAAATAAAGCAATCTTCCAAAACAAAAGGTACAGATCCACAAGATATTAAAGGATACTTAAAAGTAACAGTAACTTAACACGAACAAAATGGAACACAGATACAAACACAGATATGCAAATTTAGAAACAAAGACTGACCCGATATCCATGCTTTATATGTATAAAAATATAACTTACCATCAAACAGGCAATAAAAAATACAAAAATATAGTTATTAAATAAATGGCATTCAAATGAGAAACAGGAAGAAGGCTAAATTTAGACCCTCAATAAATAATTTAAAATAATTTTGAGATGGATTAGTAATTCTGTATAATGCACAAAAAATTAAGAACATAAAAAAAAAACAAAGGTAGCAGGATTAGCCCCCAAGCGAATTTTTCAATGTTTAAAATAAAGGCAAAATACAATAAATGGTTTTTTAATTTTTAATATTCACAAGTATGAATTTTCCAAAAGTAACGAAAGAATGAATATAGACAGAGATCTTCAGAGTGGTTTTTCTTTTTCTGTATAAATTCTTTCAGACTAAGTGGTAAAGCATAAGTAAGGCATTTGTACCTTAATTACATTTGTAGTGACTCTCACTAGTATGAATTTTCTTTTCTGTCCTGTATCCTTCCTTAACCACATAATTCTAACTTATAGAGTTTCCAATTCACAGATCTACTACTCACCAGTATGACATTTTTTATGTTGCTGAATCTCTGAACCTCTCCCAAAAGCCTTTCCACATTCCTTACATTCATAAAGTTTCTCACCAGTATGAATTTTCTGATGTTGAGTAAGGCTTGAGCCAGTACCAAAATTCTTCCCACATTTCTTACATTCATAAGGTTTTTCACCAGTGTGTATTCTCTGGTGCCGATTGAGAGCTGAACCACTACTGAAGGACTTTCCACATTCTTTACATTCATAGGGTTTTTCACCAGTGTGAATTAGCTGGTGTTGGATAAGTTTTGAGCCACTACCAAAGGCCTTGCCACATTCTTTACATTCATAAGGTTTCTCACCAGTATGGATTCTCTGATGTTGAGTAAGGTCTGAACCACTACTAAAGGCTTTCCCACATTCCTTACACTCATAGGGCTTCTCACCAGTGTGCATTCTTTGATGCTGAATAAGTTTTGAACCACTTCTAAAGGCCTTCTCACATTCCTTACACTCATAGGGTTTCTCACCAGTGTGAATTCTTTGATGTTGAGTGAGATCTGAGCCACTATTAAAAGCCTTCCCACATTCCTTACATACATAAGGCTTCTCACCAGTGTGAATTCTTTGATGTCGAGTAAGGGCTGATCCAAAACTAAAAGCCTTCCCACATTCATTACATATATACGGTTTTTCACCAGTATGAATTCTCTGATGCCGAGTAAGGGCTGATCCACTACTAAAGGCCATTCCACATGCTTTACATTCATAAGGTTTCTCACCAGTATGAATCCTTCGATGTTGAGTAAGGTTTGAACCACTGCCAAAGGCCTTTCCACAATCCTTACATTCATAAGGTTTCTCACCTGTGTGAATTCTGTGATGCCGAGTAAGGGCTGATTCAAAACTAAAGGACTTCCCACATTCCTTACACTCATAGGGCTTTTCACCACTGTGAATTATCTGATGTCGAATTAGGCCTGATCCAAAACTAAAGGCTTTCCCGCATTCTTTACATTCATATGGTTTCTCACCAGTATGAATTCTCTGATGATGGGTAAGGTTTGAGCCACTACCAAAGGCCTTTCCACATTCACTACATTCATAAGGTTTCTCACCAGTATGAATTCTTTGATGGTAAGCAAGGTTTGCACCACTACCAAAGGCCTTGCCACATTCTTTACATTCATAAGGTTTCTCACCAGTATGAATTCGCTGATGTCGAATAAGGACTGATACAAAACTAAAATCCTTCCCACATTCCTTACATTCAAGGAGTTTCTCATCAGTATGTATTCTCTGATGCTGGTTATTGAAAGTGGGCATGTCTTCAGAAGTAAATATCATTTGACTGAAATGTCCTTCCTGAGATTCCTGTTTTCTCTCAAACTGGCTTTTACATTCCCAATCACCTCTGAAACTTGAACACTCAATGCTGTTTTTTAAAAGTCTTTCCATTATCTCTCATCAGGATGATTCTACTCCATAAATATCCTTTTTCAGAAATAATTTCTTGGTCTCAACCTTGATTCACAGTCTGAAAGAAAATATAAAAGCAAACATTCACTTTTTTTGTGTTCTGGGAGAAAAAAAACTTTTATAATAGAAATGAAAAGACTTAACCGAAACTAATTTTCATAAAAAGTGAGTAGTTTATACAGTTCTCAAATATGATGGGGCAACTTGACAAACAGATAAGGAAAGTAAAAAGAATGAGAAGTCACACTGGAAGGTAAAGAGATATTTAGGAAAATAGATTAGTCAGTTGTTCCTATAGTGATCTAAATAAAAAAAAAAACCTTCAAACATGGGACCTTGATTAATATAAAGATGTCTAGGCTCTACCCCAATTTTGTAAGAAAATAAATCTAGCGTCATATACATTTTAAAATGTGGGTAATTACCAATTAACCCATTTCTTAGGGTTGTTTGGAGCACTAACTACACCTAGAAAAAAATCTAGGATAAATAGGTAACAAACATAAATTGCATAGAATCTGAAGGAAATAAAAGAGAATGTTACTTCAGATACAGCAGTATCCTGATGAAAGATTAATGTGATAAATGAACAATGAAGAAGGAAGAATCTATTGTGGTTAGAATGTGGCTTATTTATGCCATTTGATAAAATCCATGTTTGTGTAGGAAGTCTATGAAGCTAAGCTTGGGAGAGCAAAAAAGGGGATACAGCAAAAGCTACTGTAATTGAGAATCTAGTTTTAAAATCTGAGAGAAAGGAATAGCAGATAGAGGTAATGTGGTACTATTGGCAGATTTCAAAGATGCAGGTAAGTATTCTGAACCCCAGCTCCAATGATTATTGAATAATTCTGAAATCACACATAATGTATATATGTAGTTGTATAAAGTAACTGCACAGTGTTTAGTAGCTATTATTGTAAGACTTCTATGCCAGAAAAGAAACTAGGAAAATGAATGGATTTAAGATACCAATTAAGTCCCTGAGCAAATATGTCAAGCCCCAAAAGGTGAAAACATCTGAGCTCCATTCTCTTCCTATAACACTCATACAGCAATCTTGTTTGAGGTTGGCCTAAATATGTCTTGAAATTGTTCTTTCCCTCTCTACTGTCAATAGATGATCCAGGCCAAAATTATCTTTTATTTGGACACAAAAGTAGCATTTTATCTAGCTGTCCGCCTTGCTAGTTTTCCACCCCTAACAGCCAGAGTGATATTCAGCCTGGCACTTTCATGTTCAAAATGCTTCAGTGGTTCCCACCGTTCTTAGGAAAAGACCCACAGTCCTTAACTTGGTCTTAACAATTCCTTAACAACCTGCCTCCTGCATGCCTCTTCAACTTGCTACCTATTTCCTTTTAACAATAAACTACAGCTACATTGGTCTTCTCAGTTCTTCAAATGCACTAAACTTTAACCCACCCCACCCCCCCCTCCCACCAAACACACATGCCATGATTTCATCTGCCCTAAATAACCATCCATACCACCGTCTCCACTGCCACCTCTTTTGGCCTTACAAGCTCATGGCCATTGTTCAGGTCTCTGCTAAGTGGCATATCCTAATAAAAATCTTTTCTGAATATTCAATCTTAACTGTGCACGTCTCACCATTATCTCATGAAGCACTTTGTTTTCTCCCATTCTTTGTGTTTTGTTTGGTAATGGGTGATTACACATTTGTCTCCTACAATTGCAAATTTCATATTTGAATGTTTGCTTAATGTCCGTCTGCTACAGTAGAGCCAAACTTCAGGAAGGAAGGATAACCAATGTCTGTTACTTTAATCAACTTGAACCCTGGCACATACAAAAAGAGCAAAGTACATTTAGTGAATGCCTAATGTAGTAAGTTAGTTTCAAAATTCAAAATAAGTTAGTTTGAAAATAAACTTCTAAAAACAAGATTTCTCTAGAAAAAGAATACACTTTTCTCTCAAAGAGAACAAGTGGATTGCATGCAGTTTTTCCTGCCCTTTTAACAGACTCACTGAAATGAATGAAATGGATTTTTGTTAAAAAGGACCAAACCCACAAGGTCAAAGACAAGTAAAGAGGAGGTAGCAACAACAAAAACTTTTGAAGTGGGAAAGCATGAAGACAAATAAAGACTAGCTTAACAAACCAAAAAATGATAAAACCTAACCCAAAAAATAAGGAAAAGGATGATTTATCCTGCAAAAGGCTAGGATCCTCAGTAAATTCTAAAACTAGAAAGTGAATGGTTGTTGAGAAAAAGAGTATTTACTGGTTTCACAATATCACTCTACAGATTATTTACTAATTATAAAGGGAAAAATACACCTTTGTACTGGGAAGATTTAGTATTCACCACTTCTAACCTTCAGTTATAAAATCTGGCTATCACCAATAGTGCAACAAACTGACATTATTATGTGCCTCACCAATGTAATGCAATAAAACATACACTGTCTTATCACCTACACAGCATGCTTGCCAAATCTAAAGGAGATTGCCATCTCTAAAGGAGAAAGCCATCAGAGAAATGGAGGTTGTTGAGACAATCTATAAGAAAACTGTCCTGAATTCTCTAAAACACTCAGTGTCCTATTAAAACAAAACAAAACAAAAAAACTGAGAGCCTGTTCTAGATTAAAGAGACTAAAGCATTGAAGAGGGCGTCTTTTGGGATGAGCACTGGGTGTTGTATGGAAACTAATTTGACAATAAGTTTCATATAATAAAAAAAAAATTTTTTTTAATGTGAAAAAAAGAGACTAAAGAGACTCAACAACAAAAATAATGCATGAATCTTGATTGGATTGCAAACAAGCAACCAAATAAATGAACAAAAAAACAAAATTACATCAGCTAAAAAAGCAAAAAACACTTTGGGGAACCCCTGGAAATAATTGAACAAGAAATGTTTGAGGTGATATTAATGAGTTAATGTAAATTTTCATAGATTTGTTATGTCATTGTTATTGTTTGGAAATGTCCTTATACTTAGAAGATACATACTAAAAGTATTAAGGGTAAAGTGTCCAGATGTCCCCAACCTGTATTCAAATGATTCAGGGGGAAAAAAGTGTGCGTGTGTGTGTGTGTGTGTGTGTGTGTGTGTGTTGTGTGTTTAGAAAGACAAAGCAAATGTGGCAAAATGATAACAATTGGTGATTTTAGGTGATGACTATATAGGGTACACTAAAATATTCTTCCTTTTAAAAAATATTTTTTTTATGTTTATTTTTGAGAGACAGAGAGAAAAAGAGCGAGCAGGGGAGGGGCAGAGAGAGAGAGGAAGACAGAATCTGAAGCAGGCTCCAGACTCTGAGCTATCAGCACAGAGCCTGACAAGGGGCTGGAACTCCTGATAGTGAGATCATGACCTGAGCTGAAGTTGGATGCTTAACTGACTGAGCCGCCCAGGCGCCCCTGAAATATTCTTTCAAGTTTGCTGTATATTAGAAATTTTTCAAAGAAAACAGAAATTACAGATTGTTTTAGAAAATAGCATTTAAGAAATTTTCCAGACCTGAAGGACATGAACCTCCACATTTAATGGACTTACTTGATACCTAGCATAAAAAATAAAAATGATTCACACTAAGATATGTTTTACATTAGGTTTCAGGACACTAGGAACAAAGAAAAGAACTTAAAAGGCTCCAAAGAGTAAAAACAGGGCATCAATAAAAGAGCAGGAATCAAAATGGGTTTGAAGTTCTCAACAATATTCTATTTAAAAAAAAATTTTTTTTTAACGTTTATTTATTTTTGAGACAGAGACAGAGCATGAACGGGGGAGGGGCAGAGAGAGAGAGGGAGACACAGAATCGGAAGCAGGCTCCAGGCTCTGAACCATCAGCCGAGAACCCGACGCGGGGCTCGAACTCACGGACCGTGAGATCGTGACCTGAGCTGAAGTCGGACGCGCAACCGACTGAGCCACCCCAGGCGCCCCTCAACAATATTCTAAACCAGAAGTCATAACCTTAAAATTCTAAAGAAAAATATTTCAAGTAGAAATTATGTCCTGTGAAAGAACAAATAGACTGGTTGAAAAGCCCTTTTCAGATATACTAGAATTCACAAGTTTAACACATTTATCCATCTTTACATGCCACCTACACAAAAAAAACAATTTTGATAATTTCACGTTTTCTTAGAGTAAACCAAGAAACAGGAAGGCATGAAATCCAAGAAGTAAAAACTGAACAAAGAAGAAGGGAACAGAATTCAAAAAGTAGGCAAAATATAGAATAGTAGGCAGAGAAGAACAAAGGATTGTAGGAGGGCTGTCTAAACATAGGAAATGCCAAATTTCCCAAAAATTTGTTTTCTTAAAGACTGAGTATGAATTAGTGATAGTTAAATGGACAACCACATACACAAAACAGGCAACATTACATAGCAAATAAAGTTGTACAGCAAAGTAAACATGACTCATACCTCAGTTATGAATAAATTCATGATAAAGAGTAATGAGCTTTAGAATGAGAGAAGATATTTATTTACATTTATTTACTTTTGAGAGACAGAGAGAGACAGAGCATAAGCGGGGGAGGGGCAGAGAGAGAATGAGACACAGAATCTGAAGCAGGTTCCAGGCTTTGAGCTGTCATCACAGAGCTCAACGTGGGGCTTGAACTCACAAACCGTGAGATCATGACCTGAGCCAAAGTCAGACACTTAACCAACTGAGCCATCCAGGTGCCCTGAGAGAAGATATTTATAAAATATTTTTTTTTATCAAAAACCTAGTATCCAGAATATAAAGATCTTTTTCAAATCATTAATTAAGTTAAGCTAAAAGATCCAAGAGAAAAGGAACCACTAATAAATAAGAAGATA